TCTCTCACTGTCTCACTCTCTCACTGTCTCACTCTCTCACTGTCTCACTCTCTCACTGTCTCACTCACTCACTGTCTCACTCTCTCACTGTCTCACTCTCTCACTGTCTCACTCTCTCACTCTCTCACTGTCTCACTCACTGTCTCACTCTCTCATTGTCTCCCTCACTCACTGTCTCACTCACTCACTACTTCACTTACTGTCTCCCTCACTCACTGTCTCACTCACTCACTGACTCACTCACTCACTGTCTCACTCACTTACTGTTTCACTCACTGTCTCACTCTCACTCTCTGTGTCTCACTCACTGTATCACTCACTCACTGTCTCACTTTCACTCTCTGTGTCTCACTCACTGTATCACTCACTCACTGTCTCACTCTCACTCTGTGTCTCACTCACTGTATCACTCACTCACTGTCTCACTCTCTCTCACTCACTGTCTCACTCACTCACTCACTCACTGTCTCACTCTCTCACTGTCTCACTCATTGTCTCACTGTCTCACTCACTCACTGCCTCACTGTCTCACTTTCACTCACGGACTCACTCTCTCATGTCTCGCTCTCTCATTGTCTCACTCACTCACTGTCTCACAAAAAAAAAGAAGTGTTATGTGAGTGTACCTTCCCATTGTCACCATCGTCACTACCATCACTATGACGTGGCTCAGCAAGTAACTGTTTGATCTCAGTCAGCTTCATAGCATTTCCCCCTCGTTTGGCTGCTATTTACTGTGCCTGTTTTATCTTCTCTTTCCCCTTGTTTAGGTGAAGCGTATGGGCTGGAAAGCCCGCACAGGGACATTTCCGAAAACACTGCCTTTCACAATGATACGACGGACGACGTCACAAGAGGAGCTTCGTGGTGTACCGTTGTGGAAGAACTGTGGCAGGATGCCGACCAGAGGAGAGGGTATCAGGAACATCCAAATAAGCCGGTGCATTGGGGTGCTTTCATCAACGAGCAAGGATTGACGAGCGAGAGTGTGGGTGACTACACCAGTGCTAGGAAACGTGTGCATGGGAAGCCTCGCTTCATTTTTTCACAGAAGCAACTTATTAAATCTTGCTCATTTCTGAAAGCTTTGAAATGCAACCTGGAAGCAAACGGTCAGGCCAATAGCAATGGTACGACATACCTTGATAACACCATTGAACCTGATCCTCTTTTGGCCTTTGACCCTTGTAATCATGGCTGTAAGAATAACCTGGCAGAAGAGAACTTCTGCAAAGGGACCCAAGGCAGAAAACTCCTCAGCCATAAACAAACGCTCATGCATTACCAAATCCATACTGAAGAGCAGCCTGTTGAGTGTACTGCGTGCGGGAGGATCTTGACTCAGAAGCCGTTTCTCCTTAGCCAACAGAGAATGCATAGTGTAGAAAACCTGCACGAATGCAGCAAATGCGGAATCGCCATCGAGCCTAATCCCCCACTTGGCGTGTATGTGTCCATCCATACCAGTGAAATCCCTTATATATGTATTGAATGCGGGAAGATCTTCTTCCAGAGGTCGGAATTCATTAAACACCAAATCAACCACACGAGAATGAAACCCTATAAATGCCAAGAATGCGGGAAAGCTTTTTGCCAGATGTTATCTCTCTTCAGGCATCAGAGAATTCACACTAGAGAAAAACTCCATGAATGTAGCGAATGTGGGAAAGGTTTCTCCCAGAAATCAGACCTCAATATACATCGGAATATTCATACCGGCGAGAGACAATACGCATGCAGTGAATGTGGCAAGACCTTCTCCCAGAAGTCAACGCTTAGCATGCACCAGAGAATCCATACAGGAGAGAAATCTTATGTGTGTATCGAATGTGGGCAAGCCTTTGTCCAGAGAGCACACTTGATCATACATCAAAGAACGCACACTGGAGAGAAACCTTATCAGTGCAGTAGCTGTGGGAAGTCCTTCATTTCTAAGTCCCGACTCCATGCACATTATCGAATTCATACAGGTGAGAAACCGTATGAATGCTCTGACTGTGGAAAATCTTTCTCTCAAAAGACACACCTCAATATACATCAGAAAATTCATACCGGAGAAAGACAACATTCATGCAGTGAATGTGGGAAAGCCTTCAACCAGAAATCAATACTCATCATGCACCAAAGAATTCACACTGGAGAGAAGCCTCACCCATGTAGTGACTGTGGGAAAGCCTTCATTTCCAGGGCACAACTCAGAGAGCACCAGCGAATCCACACAGGAGAGAAGCCCTATGTATGTGCCGAGTGCGGAAAGGCCTTCACTGGCAGGTCAAATTTCAATCGGCACAAGACGACTCATTACCGGAGAGAAATCATACAAATGCAGTGATTCTCAGAAAGGCTTTGCCTAGAAATCACTTCTCAGGATGCTTCACAGTATCCACGAGTGAGATACACTCTGTTTCTTCAATAGATCTTGTAAGAGTCTGTCTAACTACATCACAGAATTCATGCTTCAGGAAAACAAAACAAAACAAAACAAAACCCCTCTAGGAGTACATTGGATGTGTAAGCGCATCCCAAAGCCATACATCCTTGTATGTGAAGGGAATTATTCAAGAAAGAACTTTTAAGAGTACACGGGAAGTAGGGAATTGGTCTAGACTTGCTAAGGATTATAAAATCCAGTGTTGACTGCAAGCAACCCTCAGATTTCATAGTCTGACGTGCAGACAACTTTTACTTGCCCTTTCATGTCATCTACATTGACCTCCACTTTGAAATGGTTGGACCAAGCCCACGCACAAGAGTCTTCATCACAGTCACCTTTACTTGTGCACGTGCAGCTGCTTTGCAATCATTTTTAAAAGCTTTGAGCCTTTTCTTGATCTAGAGCAGTGGTTCTCAACCTTCCTAATGCCGCAACTCTTTAATACAGTTCCTCGTGTTGTGGTGACCCCCCCAACCATTAAGTTATTTTCGTTGTTACTTCATAACTGTAATGTTGCTACTGTTATGAATTGGGTGACCCCTGTGAAAGGGTCGTCTGACCCCCAAAGGGGTCGAGACCCACAGGTTGAGAACCGCTGCATTAGAGTAAGGCTAAATAGAACCCTATGTTCCTGTTGTGACTTACCTACACATTCTTAACACATTTAGTAACAGATCTCATTCATTCCGCCCTCCCCCCACCCCGAACTGCCTCTAATATATTGGGGAAAGCCTTTTTGTAGAAAATATTACAAGGTAGAGATTGTTAACAGATTAGAGGCCACCCTGTTAGAAATGCTCTTAGAGACAACCCTGCTGATTGTGGAATATTCCATTGATTTTAAGTGCTAGCATTCTAAACAGTTTAGTCTCAGTTCTATAGCTTGCTGCAGAACTCACTGTATAGTAGGAGCTTTGTGTAGGTTGTAGGGAGTAATGGAGGATTTGAGGAACAAAAATAAAATACATAAGAGAATTAAAAAAAACCCTAAATTTCAGAAAACTGTGCTTTTCCTTAATTGAATGTCAGTGGATTAAACATTAGACGTAAAATATGCCAAAATGTGGATGCAGCCCAGATGTGCATCAACAGATGAAGGGATCAAGTTTTGATACATGTTACAACATGGATGAGCCTTGAAAACATTTTGCTAAGTGAATTAAGACAGATAGAGGGTGTAGACTTTCTGTCTGAGGTGATGTTTGCAATACTGAGGTGAGGCACAATATTATGAGTGTAGTTAATACCAGTGAATTGTACATTTAAAAAAATGGTAACATTTTGCCACAAGATGATATCAGATTTTCACATTTTCTACAATGTATTAATTTTATTTGGGAGAGAAAATAACCTAAGAAAATAGGTAGTTTTGGGTAGGGGTAGAGATTTTTAAACTATGACAGAATTTTAAGGTTTATTGCAACTCGAAGAGGGGTCTGTGGCTCTTCATTATATTACTTTCTTTGTACATATTCTTAATTTCCCAGAACTTTTCATTAAAAGCTTTACATTTCCCCTCATGCCATTATAACAACATATGCGAGACAGAGTCGCATCCTGTTTAAGTGGACAGGCTGACGAGGTGCCTGGATGTGATTGCTGGCCTCAGTCTGCCTTCTAACATTGAGCTTACTTGTCTTGACTTTCTCCTCGGTAAAAGGAAGATGATAATATTATCTGTTAGACCTGTTGTGTGTGAGAAGTGAATGGGCTAGTGTGTGTGAAGCACTTAAAACTATGCATGAGAAAGTGAAGAGTTCGATGCATTTCAGTCGGCCTTGCATCTCTGGAACTGCCTTGTTTTTTTTTTGTTTTTTTTCCTGGAAATGGATGTTGAGGGATGAGCTGTTATCCATGGGAGAATGTCTAGGTGAGTGAGGCTGTCTGGCGGTAGGCAAAAATAATCCTACCCCCAGCCCTCCTTCAGGAAAGACGATGGGCCAAGACCGCTTGTCAGAAGCATGACTGAGGCACTTTCTGAGAAGGAGGCTTATGCCCGGTAATGGGCGGGGCTTTGGAGAACACGTCAGTTCTGTCTCGTGTCTCATTGCTTCCTGACTGTGGTCAAGTTGGTGCCGATTCATAGCGACACGACGGATGGTGGCTCAGTTCTGTTCAGTCCTCACAATAATGAATGCTTGAGCCCAGTGTAGCCATTCTGTCAGTCCTTTTCAGTGAGGGGGTCTTTCCTCTTTGCTGACCCTCTACCGAACCTGATGTCTTTCTCCAGGGACTGGTTCCTTCTCGTAGCATGCCCAAAGAATATGAGATGAAGCCTTGCCATCCTTCCTTCTAAGAAGCATCCTTGTACTTCAAAAGCTTTGTTCTGGTAGTCCATGTTATAGTCAACATTCTCCCAACTCCATCGTTGAAACGCTTCAGGTCTCTGGTCCAGCATTTGCATGCCTATGCAATGATCGAAAGAGCCACGGGTGGGGGCTCAATCCTCAAAGTGACAGCTTTGCTTTTTGGGTGTTTTTTTTATTAACACTTCAGAGAGATCTGTTGCGGCAGAATTTTCCAGTACAAGAAGTTGTTTAATTTCTTGACTGCTGCTGCTGTGGACACGGGGGATCCAAGTGAAATGAAGTCTGTGACCATGTTTGCCATTGATCACGGGGGTGGTGTTCCTCTGTCCAGGTGTGAGGCTTATGCCCAGGTGTAGTTCTTACTGAAGGCTGTAGTCTTCATCAGGGAGTGCCCCGAGTCCTCTCCCCTCTCTGCGAACAAGGTGAAGTCATTTGCATATTGGAGGCTGTTAGTGAGCCTTCCTCCAGCGCTGCCGCCACATTCCCCATCTAATCCAGCTCTTGGGAGCATTCGCTCAGCAGACAGGATCAGCCATTTGAATGACCCGCCCAGCGGACAGATTGAACACGCACCCTGGTTTTGAACCACCCATTCCCTTGCTCTATTCCAGTGTCTACCTCTTGATCTGTGTACAGTTTCCACATGAACCCAACTACGTGGTCTGGAATTCCCAGTCTTCCCAGTGTTATCCATGATTTGTTATAATCTACATAGTTGAATGCCTTTACATAGTCAATAAAATGCAAGTAAACATCTTTCCGGTGTTCTCTGCTTTCAGCCAAGAGTTCACGTCCTCTTCTACATCTGGCTGGGATTTCTGACCGTTCCCTGTTCATGTACGGCTCCCTGACTAGGGGTATCATGCCAGGGACTGGGACCCAACCCCATTCTCACCCTGGGGAGACTAGGAATGGGCCCAGGCTGTAGGCAACCTTTATGTGAAGTGGGCAGGACCCAGAGACGTCTGGTGATGAGGGGCTTCTCTGTGATAAGGGGAGAGGGGGGGCGTTTAAACTTTCGTTAAACACATTCATGATCTTGTTTCGTCCCACGTTTCTAAGAACTTCCTATGTCCGTCATCCCTCTGCGGCACAAGGAATGTGCAATGTACTAGCCACTGGACAATTGTGTGTGTGTGTGGCTTGCATGCTACTGCATAAGGTGTGCCACCAGCATTTTGAAGGCCACCACGGTAGATAGGCTTTAGTGAAGATCCCAGACTAGGAAGAAGTACCTATGGAGCGGTGGTTCTCAGCCTTCCTAGTGCCGCGACCCTTTAATCCAGGGTGTCTTTTAATCCCTGATGTCTTTCTCCAGGGACTGGTTCCTCCTCGTAGCATGCCCAAAGAATATGAGATGTTCATGTTGTGGTGACCACCCCCAACCATAAAATTATTTCCACCGCTACTTCATAACTGACATTTTGCGACTGTTATGACTAGGACGACCCTTGTGAAAGGAACGGCCCCCAAAGGGGTCGCGACCCATAGGTTGCGAATCACTGCTGTAGATCATCTCGAGGGGGGAAATTTCTAGTGAAAACCTGGGAGGCAATAGCATATTGATAACAGTGCTAAAAGATGGGCCCCCTCAGATAGGAAGGTGCTCAAAATTAGACCAGGGAAGAGTAGCCTTCTCAAAGCAGAAACCTTGGCCAAATCCACTGCTGTGGAGTCGATTCCTGCTCATAGTGACCTTAGGGGACAGAGTGGAACTGTCCCATAGGGTTTCCAAGGTTGTAACCATCACAGAAGCAGGCTGCCACATTTTCCTCCCATGAGTGGCTCGCTAGGGGGTTGGGGCTGCAGAACTCCTGGTTAGTAGTCCAGTGCTGAATCATGGTTGCCATCAGGGCTCCTACCTCAAAGCAGAGCCGATCTTAAAGGTGTGGATGGAGTAAAGTTTGGGGGACTTTCCTTTGTTGCTGTGGCAGGACTCGAGGGTAAGGAATGGCTGCAAGCATCATAGGGGAACACGGAACATTTACACACACAGGATGGTGTGGATGGCCCAGGACTAGAAGTTGTATTCTGTTGTGGGGTCTCTATGGGATAGAACTGACCACAGGACTGTCCGAGGAAAGCAGCCTCCAACAGCCAGCGGGCCAGTAGGTGTAATTGTCCAGCGACAATATATAAAGGTTATAGTAAAGTCATAGAGGATAAGAAAGATAAGAGAGAGAGTAAAATAAAGTCAAAGATGTGTTATGGTAGCATGCTCACCTCAGCCTCTCTTGATGGTCCACGTGGAACTGGGAGAAGAGAGAGCATCTTTACTGTCTTGGGACATTTATAGGTAGCCATAACACATGCATATTCAGTAGTTACATGCGTTACAAGGTGGGTGGTATCTACATTAAGGTCCCTGAGCTCACAGGTGAGGAAACCTAATACCTGCATTGGGGTAGTGTACAAGGGGGGGGGTTGGGTGACACATGGGAAGAGAGAAAAGGGTGTCTGTTTCTATAGGGAGATAGACTCAACCATGTGCTCACTTTAAGGCAGCATAGCTGTTACGGGAGAGTCAGTGGGAATGTTATTTAAAGCAGGATCATGTACTTGGACTTTACCTCTAACTTACCAAAGTGGAGGCTTTCCTACCGTGGGATACCACCTTTCCAGATCCCCTCTGTTATAAGTTAGGGAATATAGTCTTTGCCCTATTGCTCTCAGTGCTAGTTTCCCACACAGTACTTCATAGCAATGGCAAGTAACCTGAAAGTTAGTGGGTTCAAAACC